AGAGAGAGAGAGAGAGAGAGAGAGAGAGAGAGAGAGAGAGAGAGAGAGAGAGAGAGAGAGAGCGTGAGAGAGAGCGAGAGAGAGCATTGTCTCCGGGGTTAATTCTTCACGATCGATACTGGCTTTCCGCGTGTACACGTTTACTCGTCCTTCGATTAATAAACGAGTCAAAGCGCGCCGAGAAATTTGCACCGGGAGCTGCCGAGTTTTACTTAACTTTTGCAGTTAATTATATTATCCCGCGAAGTGGGAACCATTGGAATTCCTGTGCGTTTTCCGCATTGCAACAAAGCATTCCTTCGAGATGTAATTACAACTGGGCCGACCCGAAGCTTTATTCATGATTTTCGTGACATACATTCACCGTCGTACGATTGCGCGATTGAAGAAAGTCACACTACGGCTAACATGGAAACGTTTCAAGTGCTCTTGTCCACGATATAAGGGGAGAAGATGGCGGAATAATTCGTTTTTTCTTATCGCGCAGTCTAAAGTCGTAATCCTGGAACGTTTCCAGAACGTTTGTTAATTAACGGGTTAAAAACTTTTAGCTATCGATGACGCTGTCGATGATAACACGAACTTTTGTATTACTTATATTATGCGTGATCCATCAACTGTCATTGAAAATATCACGAGAAAAAGTACTAGCTGGATATCACGCGAAGCAATTGAATGGCACGACAGTAAGTCTAACGGAAAAAAGAATACACATATTTGCGGAATAGAAGAACTTTATCTCACTCGTAAAATCGCCCTCTTTCATACGGCAGAGCGATTTTTTCGAAAAGCCTGCCTCGTAAGTCGCGCGAGCCGCGAGTCGAAATATTCAATTCCGCAACCTAATCCAGAATTAATTGGCGCACGGATCCTTTCAGCGAGCTCGAACAAAATTTCCGGGAACGCTCCTAATCACGCAAAGGAAACTCGATGGTACGTTACCGTCGACAATCGAGTCGAATGACGGGCCGGGGTTACGAGGGGCGCGGCGTTCGGGAAAGGGGAGAAGGGGGCAAATCTAATGCATCGTCTCGTGCGGCCTGAACAAACCTAAGCCTCGTGTAAGTCTCGGCTATAGTCGTTCGCACAACGAGAGGCTTACCAGTGCCTTAATGCCATGTAATGCGATCAGTTCACTAACACAGAGGCGCGCTCTCGCTCGCTCGCTCGCTCGCCCGAGGTGCATCCGTCAGCGCGGCGCGCCACGGACGCTCCTCATGGATGCATCCGTGACATGCACTCGTTGCACAGCCCCGAGAGAGGGTGTGCAGGCTCTCTGGTTTCTGTACGTAAGTGCGAGAGCGCGCCAAATCAATAGTTCGCCGTGCACCCGCCGTATGCGATTCTCGAGTGAGCGCGTCTTTCTTCGTCCCCGACCCCGCGCCTGAGGGACGTGCATTTTTATTCGCACTCGCGCTACCCGCTCGATCCCGAGCAACCTCGGGGTCGCATCCATCGTCGTTTAACGTTTGCCCACGAATCTAATTGTATATTTATCTCTTCTCCGTGTGTCACGGTACAAATAGTCTACGGATCTAGAAACGGGAGGAGGTTTGCGGATTTGTATTAACATTTTTCACACGCACATTTGTATCACACGCTTACATAAAGTATCCTTACAATGTTCACGAGAGAGCGTAACAACACATGTATTGGCAGACATTGAAAACAATGCGACAACAATCGATGTGCAATGAAAATTGATGGTGAAGTCTAGGTCTAGAAAATTTATATTGAATTCCACACATGATTGATATAAAATTCATATTGTATTCCACACATGATTGAAATATCATTTTAGAGATTATGTTAGGTTTTATATTCAAATAGAAATTAACCACCACTAAACCTCCCACTTTAAAAATCTTTGCACTCACGTGAAAATTTAAAGAGTTAAAGATTGTAACTCTGATGTTCTTCAAACAAATCGTTAGTAAAGACTAATAAGAGCCAAATGCAAGAAGAAATGTGTAAATAAATTTTAAAGTGACGGACTTGCAACATGACAATTAACCTCATTTAATCAACTTAAACCAAAAACAATTATATTTATAAATTTTGTTGCAGTAATTGTTAGCTAAACACAAAACAAATCAGCTAAACTCATTTTTTATAACTAAAGAGAAATTGCGACCAGAAATTCCAAAATCAACGGATTAATGAATATAGAGACAAGAAAAATTTAGCGGTCACTGTGTGGTGACAAACTTCGTCAGATCTGAAACGGAAAGCAAGTTTTCTGATTAGTTATATTGTTAAGAAAATGTATTATGCATATTTTGACCGATTCGAAATAATCGCACGTGAAGATCTGTCCCCCTCATAACTAAGACGATTATGATCGCAGCATTTTCATAAGCTATTCACCTGGTAAAATATGTTTAAAACATAATTGCGTTATTTATACGCCCATTTAACACGTTCACTACTAGAGTTTATTTGGATGACTCCCTTTCCACTACATTTTTTTACATAATTATACAAAACAGACTTAATTTAATATTACAGATAAAAATTCTTTATTGTCACGTATATGTAATATGCATACTTTAACATCCTATATATCGTAATATATTTATATAATTTTATGTTTAGTTCCCTTTGACATTTAAACTGTTGAAAGGTATAATTCCTCCACGATGATAGCCATAGCTCGCAATAATCGGTCGAATTAATTAAGGATCCATATCAAGATCACACAATCGAGACAGTCAGTCGGTATCATGAGGAAAAACAGGCAATAATTAGATAACACGCTTTTTTCGAAGATAGTATATAACAATACAAATAGTGTGTGTGTACATATATGAAAGCTGCATATATCGTTCTGATAAATCAGGACATATGAATCTTGGCAGAGATCGGACAAGAGAAGCGCGTCGCTTCGAGGAATCACGAGTAAATCGGTGCATCGCGCGCAGATCGATACGGTCTTTCTTCTCGCCCTCGATCACCGTGGCATTGTGAAAAATGATCGCGACTCTGCGTCGGGATGCAGGCGGTCAAACATCAGCGCGATAAATCACGCTTGATTCCGCACACGTAGCTCACGATTCGTGGAAAAAATTCCTCACAACGTACACCGCGACGCGACGCGACGCGCGATATAACCGTGCGCCGCGCGCTCGTTTATCTCGAGCGTCCTATCGACACGACGATCGTTTTATGCGAGGGCCGCACGCGCGATTCGCACTATGCTCGCTCGCTCGTCCGGTTATAAGTGCAAATAGCCGCGAGTGGCATAAAGTTAAGCGCACGTGAAGGCAACGCGCAGCACGCGCGAGCGAGCGCGAGACACTCGCCGTGCGCATAGGAAAGGCGTTGAAGGCGCAATTAAGATAATTAATCTAATACCACGGCCGCGCCTCGGAGCGATACGGCTACCGGCGCTCGCATAAATCCCAGAGAGCCTCGTTTATTGCGCCGACCGGCCGCGTGAATTATCGCCGTGGACGAACGCGAGATGCCGCCGCTCGAGAGTGCCGCGCGCGTCGGGGCCTTTTGATTTTCTTCGACACAATACTTCTCTGTCTCGGATCCGCGATCGCACGATCGCGCCTGTTTTCCTCACGCGCGCGCGCGTGACGCGCCAATGCCGATGCGCGCCGTTAACGAGCGTGATATTTCATTCGCGTGGAATTCCGCGCGCGGGAGATTTTTCTGTCCTTTTTTTCCATGAGTCATCCATCGAGAATCGAGACGCGCGATGCTGTTCATTAGCAATCCGCGGGATTTTAGATTGAAGTTAGAAGAGCAAGAGCGTGCTTTGAAAGGAACAGGCAATTTGTGTTTTTGCTGTTTGCAGAAATGTCGGATTGAGTTCGCACGGGGAGTCGTTACTTTGTGTTTTGTACCGCAAATTGTTGATGCGTCACGATAGTTTTGATCAATCGTTACTTTAATTCACATTACAACTGCATCATAAGTCGAAATTTACCGACTAATGCTCCGCGTTCGTTGCGTTCTTAACTCTCACATGTTTGTTTTGAGCACCTTAATCTAACGCACTGGAGTTGTGCACGCTTATTTATTATCGTAAAAACGATAATAAATGTATTTTCAAGTTGTATTTAATACCACACGTAGGACTTTTTCCTTCGACGAGTTCTACTTGAATAGTTCTATTTGAATAGTTCTACTTGAACGGACATACCAGTTGCTATTAAATATTTTCTATAATTATTGTTATATCAATGATACTATCGTTGTATAGGAATATACCTTCGTTCTAAGAAGGAAGTAGAATTTGCAAGAATACAGGCGGTCGATTAAGCAAACAATAGATATTAGGATATTTTATGGCGTTTGCCCAAAATATGTAAATAAAACAAATTCTTGTAAAAAAGTGCAGCCAAAAATGACCCAGATTTATAGCCAAAAAGTTTTAAAACCATTTTGGATTCAAAATAAAGTTTATGATGCGTAATTTACAAATATGCATGTGCCAAAATGGTCGGATCTCAGGTTCGAAAGATATGACTCATTAAAAATTGTACTTCCACGAGATGGCGCTTTTGCGAGAGGAAAATGTAGTTCCTTTCGGATCTGTATTATCTATATTATCTATATTATCAAGATAATGAAGATCAGAAAGATACAAAAATGTTTGGTGCGCAATAATTGCGGCCGCAATTCAACGCGGAGAGTGCTGGCGCCATCTAGTAGAAGTAGAATTTTTAATGGGTCATATCTCATATCTCTGAGACCTAAAGTCCGACCACATTGGCACTTGCATATTTGTCATCCACGCAGCATAAACTTTATTTTAAACCCAAAATAGTTTCAAAACTTTTTAGCCATGAATCTAGGCTTTCTCGTAATGACTGCGTAAATACTGTTCAGAATCTTGTCTAGAAACTGTCGGGTGATTACCTTGCAAGAGAGAATTTCTGAAATAAAAATCCTTAAAACTGAAGGTTACGTGGTACGTAACAGCGTGCGCTCATCTTTATTTCAGTAATTTTTCGATTGAGACGTACGTACATGCATATGGTGCGCTAAGAAAACCGCGACGAGATCTAGCGAACGGTTCAGCGTCGAAATTACTACTGTCAAGGAGGGAGGTAGCTTTATCACCGACCCTCTCGTTATACCTCTCGGAACCAATTATAGCGAGCTGTAATCATTGGGCACTCGCGTCTCAAAAGATTGTCAGCTTACGTACGCCGATAAATCACATCGAAATAGGCGGAACCCATTTACCCGGTGGCCGCGCTCAGCTCCGCTAACGTTCCAACGATTGATAAGTTGCTGACCACGCCTTTCCATAAATCAATAATCAATCGAAAAACACGAAGGCGTACGAGGGTAGTTTCTTTATTATTCCGCGCTGTAGCGACGACGAGACCTGTCCGCGACTCGCTTTTTGCGTAAAAAAAAAAAGTGAAGTCAGCGCGCTACGAAACAATTCAATTAATTTGTCACGACAATGAGACATCTCCAGAGTAATTTCGGGTAAGAAAGGCGAGAAGAAAATAAAAATACGTAAAGAGTAAACTAAGCGCGGCACGTGAGCCTCGCAAGATTGCTAACTCCGCGTCGTTGTTGCAGAAGGCAGGCGCTACTGACAGTATCGGGCGGCGGTTCCCGTTTGACGACGGGGGGACCACCATCGCCGGACAAGCGGCGCTCGTCCAACTCCGCCACCGACCTCATGGACGACGAGGACAAACTGTTGGACGTGGTAGGACCCGACACGCCACACCCAGCCCACCATCATCGGGAACGGGAGCATTCTCGCGAGAGGGATGACCGCGCGAGTGAACGAGGCGAGGGTAGCGAATCCTCCGGGTCGGAGAGTGGCGGCGGTGGAGCGGGTCCTACGGGATCGGAAGGTCCGCGACCGGACGTTTCAGTCGGCCCTCCGCTTCACCCACCCTTGTTGCCGTATCTGTACCCACCAGTACCCGGACTCTATCCTGGTCCTGGTCACTTGATACCACCCACTCCTCTGGGACTCCACGGTGGAGTAACACCCGGGATGTTGTTCAATGCCCAACTGGCCTTGGCTGCCTCCCAACATCCTGCGCTCTTCGCGCACTACCCCCATCCCTTGGCCAGTCCGCTGCACCAACTCAAGGGCCACCGTTTCGCGCCGTACACGCTACCGGCACCGTCGCACGGTTCCGCATTCGAGACTGTGACACCTGGCAGTAGAACCTTGAGTCCGAGATCACCGCCACCGAGGCCGCCAACCGGCTCTCCGACTCCCACTGGCGGTGGCGGCACTCTCACGTCGACCACTTCCAGCAGCTCCGCCGGTGAGCTCAAGTCCATCGAGAACATGGTGAACGGACTGCAAGAGAAGAGAAGAAGAAGTCCTAGTCTGACGCCCGGGCACAGGGGCGACGACACTGGCGGAGGGAGTCCGTGACAGGAGAACGAGCCTGTGAGCAGCACGAAGGACGACGACCCCGAGGACGAGGATCGCGACGAGTCCGGCGACCCGGAGGATCTCCTCTCCGCCGACGAGAGGGAGCCGGACTCCACGTCGGAGCCGTCGTAGCGGAAGGAACGTCGGCTGGTCGGTACTCGATTCTACATGCCTCCTTATCTGCGGACCGCTCTCGCCGTCGTCCTCCTCGGCTCGCTACGGTTTTGCCCTCACCCCCCACCCCCCGCCCGGGATTCTCGCTGGACGTGTCGGACGGGAGCGGGGAAGGCCGGACTCTTATACTACAAAGTGCAATTTTATTTCCGGAGTGGCGCCGAGCTCGAGGTGTGCTCGCGAGTGGTGGTGGCGGCGCCACTTCGTGCTTTCGGGACGAAACGGAAGGAAAGTCCCTTCTCGCGTGTTTCCTGTATCTGTAAATAGACCCTGGCGATTCGCGAGAGCACGATCGCGCGTTAGGAATGTGCGTCTCTGTTAAAGGACAGCCTGGAGAAAGAGAGAGAAAGCGAGGAAAGAAAGAGAGAGAGGGAGGAAGGAAAGGAGTGAAGGCCGTTGGAGAAGCGAGGTGTGTTGGACTCGACGCGGACGCTGCGCTGATCACGTTACTGTAAATTAAACGAGACGCAAGGGTGAGTGCGCTAGAAAGATAGCGAGAGGAGAAAAGAGAGAGAGAGTGAATATGTGTGTATGTGTGTGTGTGTGTGTGTGTGTTGTGAGAGAGAAAGAGAGAGAAAGAGACGGAGAGATTGAACGAGAGAAAGAGAGAATGAAAGAATGAGGAAGAGGAGAAGAGTTTGTGAGCGCGAATCCGTGTCATGTGTGAGTCTACGTCACCCGTGAACGTTTAGGTCTTAAGGCAGGAGAACAGAGAACGATATTGCAATATAAGAGCACCTCCTACTACTTGCAGCCCCTGTACATATGTACCCTATAAATATATATAGTGATATTATATATATTATATTATATATATTATATTATATATAAATATTATATATATAAATATAAATAACACATCTACTCTCTGTACTAATTATTAAATATATTACATGATAACGATTAGAGACGTAAACACGCATAAACGCACGCTGCCCGATTTACGCCTCGGAAGTGCAAAAAGAAAAGAGCGAAAAGAAAACGAGCGAAGCGAAAAGAAACACGAATTTTAAATCCGAAGAACCACAAGGCCGAGTCGACGACTCTAAAAGGAAAGCGCGACGCAGCGCAAACCGCGGATCGATTCACCTAGTAGCAAGGCGCCGCGCTTCCACGAATATTCTCGTTCTAAAAAAAATCCTACGTCGCCGTACCCAGAGACTCGCGTTTTTCGCGGGGCAAGATTGTCCGTTGAAACGACGCGATGCGACGGGAGATCCGTTCGTTCGTTTCCCTGAACGGCTTATTATCACTTTTGACGAATTGTGCTTTTTTTACGAATAGCGAGAAGGAATCTCCTCGTTATCCTGCGTTCTCGACGATCTTCCTCGCACCTTTTTATGGATAATCTTTCTCTCTCGACCTTTTACTAGTAGGTTCAAGGTAGGTCGGGTTCTTGTGATCGTCGCCTATCGTACTTTCTTATCTCATATAATCGCGCGAATTATTTGCAAAAAATAAAATACTGTACGAGTATATTTGCAGAAGGAACGATACTACTTTCGCATCGTGCCGTGAGATATCCATAGATTTATAATTTGATTCATTTTTTAAGTTCAGTAAACGACAAATTCGCGGAACGTGCCACTTTCAATTGTTTAAAAGAAAAAAAAAACGCGAGAAAAATAAAAAATAACGAATCTCAGAGGTAATTTCTTTACGACAGTTCCTCATCGCGCTTCGCCGCCGTATGTTTTACAACAAAGAACCAAAATTCCCCTGCGCGCCGACAAGAAGTCCGACCGAACCTGCAATTTGTATAAACAGTAGGAATTGGTGTAGACAACTATTAAACACATGTAATAGAACGTCGAGTAACTATTACAATCAGCTCGCAAGAGTCACTTTAGGGAGCGGAGGGGACGAGGGGAGGGAAGAGGGAGCGCTATCGCGAACACTACACGTACGTAATACAATAGAAGCGGTTTAAGGAGAAAAACACGTGACATCCGGGATGGTAGATAACAGTGATTTAAAGCGAAATCGCGCAATGTCCGCGGCAAAACGTAGCGGCGATTTTTAAGGAGAGATCCGAGAATGGGATTCCCGCGATATCCGAGAATGGAAGACCGTTTGCCGTTTGCACGCGCTTGTGAGGAAGCGAATGAGCGAGCGAGCGACGACAATACGACTGGACGTCGCGCGTCTCAAACGGCGACGATCGGAAGATCAACTCGGTGTTATTTCGCACCGATGGAATTTGACATTGTTGTCGATTATTCTGTTGATGTCGTCCAAACGACTATTGGACTCTTCTTACTTGGATCCTGAAACATCCCGACTGGAAATTTTGTCACATGGTCTTGCACTGGAGAAAAAGTCTTGTAAGAGTTAACTGATGCAATTGGCTGAGTGTTTCAGTGCAATATTTGGTACTTAGTATCAAATAGGATAATAGTTACTAAACGTTTGGTAATAATTACAAAATAATTAGTAAAACGAATTTTTTCTTTAGATAAATTAATTAAATGGCTTGGTAAATAATACGAAATAATCTGGTGATATAATTACTAGATAGTTTGATTATTACCAAAGTATTTGCTCATACACATTTCGTATATTTATTATGTAATGTGGTAAATATTACTAAATAATGTAGTTTTACTCAATAAATTATTTAGTAATGTGTACCACATAAATTGGTGATAGCCTTAACAACAAATATCAATTTTTGCCAAATATATTTATTAATAATCATTTGATTATATTCGTCTATACGTGTTTAGTTGAAACTATTTCATTAAAGCATTTGATAACTATTATCCAGGTTATGGATGGTTAATGCAAACTTTTTTTTCAGTATAATCAGGTTGATCCAAATTAATTGTGGTTTGTGTATTATTGCCGGCTCTAAATTATTAATAATTTTTTTATTATTAAGAAGGTCGCCGATTGTGTTATGCTACATTACATGATTTATCAGGTAACAACATCATATTTAAAAATATATAATCTAATTTAGCAAAATTCTCTGAATCCTAAAGGATTTTATTCTTATATATGATCTCAAGAGGATTTTTCTAAAACCAAAAGGAAAATATTCTAAGCACTATATTCTTAAAGTCAGAGGAATTTCATTTTTTATCTACAACACAATATCTTGCTTATCACGTTCTTCGTATCACGCGTAAGAGAGCATTTTGCGTCGAGTAAGCATATTCCCCTTGATCCAAAGGGGAAAAAAATTAGAATAATAAAAAGAAAATTTTGTTGTCGAAACGAAAATTTGATACACCGGTAGATAATTTGATTAAAATAGAATCAGCTAAATGGCAATAATTTGGTTGTACCAATTACAATTTGTACGTTTTTCTTCCCTAATAATACATGTACTTACAATATATTATTGGGATATAAATGAAAAACATGGTAATGCCAACAAAATCTTATGTACTAAATATTTTAGTTCCAAATACAAAGATAATTTTTTCAGTGTATTTAGTAGATTTTCAATTAATAGTCCACTTCATCAGAATAGTAGTACTTGTTCAATAAATGTTTCCATTTAGAATATGGGATTACAAGAAGGTAACACTTTGCAAAAGTTCCTCATTCTGGGTGCACCTTGTACAAATCAAATAACTGACTGAGATCAACCTGATCAGGATCATGGGATAAGTTTTCAGTTGGGATGCTGTTGTAGTCCTAGACTAATTTTCGTCGCGTCTTCTGTGCATTTTCAAATCTGCATTAGAGCGTCGAGTATCGTAAAGCGGGGGTAAAATATATCATCTCTAAGTCAATCTCTCGTTTCAGCGAATTTATTATCGTTGTTGGGTAACAGCGAAAGGTAAGTCAATGATGATTGGATCGGCCATTCGCTCGACATTGAACGCAATAATTGAGTTATGTTACATCGCGTTTAATACAACCATCAAAGCAATCGCGACTGCCCTCAGCAGTCTAGCTGACCAGGGCTTTCCAGTGCATGATATTTCAAAAATTTGGTTTCGAAGACACTTACATCTAATAACTGTCAATTAGTGCTGATATGATTACATGAATATGTAATTGATCAAACATCTTCTCCTATTCGAATGTGTTAACTAAAACGAGAGAGATATTATCGACCTTTCGAATGCAATTCTGATCAGCTTTATTCCATTTTGCGATACCCATTGTACGAGCTAGTATCGTCGTTGTAATATATCTATAAATCCGAATCGATTACGAGGAAGCGAAATATTGTAAAATCCGAAAGCAATAATCTCGAGCGGAGTCGTGAGCGCACAACTACCGCGAATGAAAGTGCTCGATTCGGCTGATTTTAATGGGATATCGCGGTCGACGGCGCAGGTAAAGATCACTATTGGCCTGGCGCGAAATTCGCATTCGAAGATTCCCGACAAGGCAACGCCGAGTAAATCGAGCCTTTCAGAAAACGAAGTTCGACTCGGGACCGTAATGTCGAGTCCACGATCATTACTGATCGTGATTTAATGAGCAGGAACCCGGAGCGCCTATTCGGACAGCAATTCGACAGGAGAGATAACACAGTAGAGGAGAACAATTGCTTTTATTCCATTTATATATACTGATCAGGACTAAGAGATACGTCAATAGTAACCCGAGAAGTCGCCTGCGAGTCGCGAAGGAAATATTTTCCACGAATCTCATGGTTTTTGTAATATAACGCAATCGATCATTTGTTTCTTAATTCTAGATTTGCACATAGAGCCATTGATTTTCTGCTCATCGAGCACGTCCGGCGAACATTGTACATAGTTGTGTTACTACAGCCTATTACCGAACTGTACGAGCTCCTTCTTAGGTCCCAAATATTATTTGTATATCAAAAGGAAGAAAAATAATTCAGCAGATATGTAGCGAGCCGAGTGCCGCCGCATTTGTGGCATTAAATTAAATTATGTATGGCGTGTATGACGCTCTGGTGCGGAAGTAGAATCTGATTGATATGTACAGACACGATTGACTTGTCGCGTTCTTAACTCGAGTTAAGTTATTTGTATGGATAAATGTTATCCCCTAATTGTATCATACGTATTATCAATTTAGTGCTGTGATGGTTCTTAGTGAAAGTTAGTCTATGGACGAAGAGATCGTGTACAATATTAAGTCACCTCATAAGGCGATACGCATTAATTTAACGTTAAAACCTACGTGTAATCTCGAGACGCTCTAATTGCATGAGACATTTTTTCTTCGTCCATCTGCTCCTTCAATTAAACGCGATTCGTTTGTATAACACGACGAATTTACACATTGTTCGTTGGAATCTTATAAGCAAGTTACGATCGAAAGGAGAACAGAAAGAACAGAAGGAAGAAAGGAAAGGAAATTGCAGCTCGTTCAAAATCGCGTCTCTCAGTTCTCTCTCGAGCCTCCGAATCTTCGAGAATTTGCTCAACCCTTGCATAATTTTCGTGGCTTCCTTCGGTGCACGGTCCTGCGCTCGAAGCGATGCGAACCTCATTGTCGACGAGAAAACAGGAAAAAAAGCAATAAAAAAGAAAAGAAAGGAAGATAGGAAAAGAAACGGAAAGAAACGGGCGGTCCAGGCGTGGCCGCGTCAAACATGAACCTAACTTCTTACACGAGAATCGTGATATTCCGTGACTTGTATTGTATATTGTACACTCCCTAGACCCCCGGCCCTAACTCCGTTCCCTACCTTACCCTATCATCAAAATCCCTCCGAAAAATCCACGTGATTATAAGAATTATATATATATTAATTTAAAAATACTAAAGTACTATGTGTATTCTCATTTCCTCTGATCTACCTAGGATCTTATTCTGGACATACAGCGAAGTTGATGTGTCTTTTTAATCCTACATAGAAAAAAGTTTGGTTGGATTAATCAAGTGTCTGGTGAATTGCGAACGAACTAGAAGTTACCAGAATTCTGTTGAAGTTAATAAGATTTCTGGTTAAACAGAATTTGCAACAGTTCTAGTTGACCAGATATTTTTTGACCTGAACAGACTTTTGAACTTCAATCGAATTAGTTCACCAAATTAGTTTCACCATTAGTTTCACCAAATATTTAGTCAATCTAATGCAAATTTAATTTTACTTATATGAACGTCGCGTATAAATTCATTTCAGAAAGGCATGTTCAATGTTCGCTTTGTGTCTAGCATACGACTCCTGTATAAGGAGAAAATGTTGCAATAAAGATTACAACAGAATTTTGGTGTGAGCCATAACCTAACTTAATATTAATACAATTATGGCTGAAATTATTATATTTGCGTGAAAATTTGACTTTTTACTACAAATTGTTCTAATTGCTCGAATATTTTTTATTATACAAACGTACATCAATGATAGGATAAAGTCGTTAAATTTACTATTTCTACAGTAATGTATACTACAATTTCAGTATAATTTAGCTTTATAAAAGATATTATAAAGAAACATATAATTGTAACGTAATTTTTACCACAATATTTTCTCCATATAGTAATTCGTGGGAAGCAGAATCTTCGTGCAATTCGTGGAGCGTGTGATACATTGCGCAATTGGCGTCACTTCCGAGGGGCAATATCGGTGCTTTCTAAATAAATAAATTTATCACGGCGGATGGATTTACCGTTGCACAATTGCACCGCGTATGGGCATCTACACAAAATAGTGCCGCGATATTATTTCTTAATATCGTCCGGATATCGTTATCGCCGCGCCGGTCGCGTCGTTGAAGATTGGCGGTTTATTAATGTCCGAGCGATTTTCTGCATCGCATTTACTCGCCATATCGCGTAACGCATAATTTTAATTTTCCACGGTTGCATTCACACGCACACACACACACACACACACACACACACATATATATATATATATATATATATATATATATATATATATATCTGTTAATAATTTCAGAACTAATTTCAGCGGCTGGTAGATAGGTCGAGAGAAATAATTGTGCACTACGAGCCATGGAAATCGGTCGTTGCGATGATTATTCAACAATTATTAGACATTAAACAAATATCGGGTATGGTTCGTGTCTACGAACGTGCAAACAGTCGACGCGGCTTTTATAACGAAGAAACTTTTGATTTCGCCGCCTCTTTAATGAGAGATACCGTTTCTCTTTGGCCGGAAGATAAGTGCGCGCACATTGGTGGCCCAGGAATTTTAATCTTTCGGCCGATCGGCCGGGCGATTGTAATAATTACGGTTTCGCCAGTGTGAAGATACGACGACGCGCTGCTCCTCCTCGAACGCAAAATAAAGCAACGAGAGCGTAGAGGAGTAGCGAACATTTCGGTTTCCGTTCTGCGCGTGTTCTTTTATGGACGAACGTGTATAGTGCCGACGAAAAATTCACAAGGCTCACGCGCTCTTGAGAGGGGAAGTTATAATACGTTATCACGTTCGCGCAACAGTATGTTGCAAAAAAAAAAACAGCAACGGTGCAAATTGATGAGATATCGACTAATGAGATATCTGACTAATTAGCGCCACGCGTCTTTATAAATATATATATATATATATATATATATATATATATATATATATATATAT